GGACCAAACCACGAGCATGTGAAGCGTACGCCAATGGGTTCGCCGATTTCAGGACTCATAGCCGAGGCGATCCTACAACAGTTGAGGTTGCTGATTTTCCCGCACCGTAAACCGAAATTTCGGGCTCGATAGGTGGTTGATACCTTCGTCGTCATTGAACGAAATCAGGTGCTGGCATCCAAAGAACGTCTCAATGCCGTCTTTCCGGATATTCGGTTTACGATGGAGGAGGGAGAAAACAACCAGCTAGCCTACCTTAATGTCCTCGTTTGCCGTAAATATTGCGGTGTCTTCGATAACAAAGTGTTCAGGAAAGCAAAAAAACGACTCAAGCACTGAATTTCAACAGTAACCACTTGATCGGTCACAAAGGCAGTCGCGTAAGGGCGCTATAACGGCGCGTTGTGACGCACTGCAGTGAAATGGAAGACAAAGTTGATGAATTACAATATATTCGACGGATACTGAGAATCAGTGGTCACCCGCCCAACTTTGTCAACCAGTGCATAAGCAAACGAAACCAGAGACCAAACCCAACCTGGCCTTAACTTTAACGAGCTCCTCCGTGCGTGAGGAACGTCTCGAAAGCCACCGGCCGCCTGCTCACCTCACTTGGAGTTGGGGTTGCAAACAGACCGGAAGCAACCATCAGGCGCCAGGTCTTGAGGTCGAATGACCTACTTCCACGCAGGAAACGTCAGGAGTCGTTTACCGGAACTGGTGTTAATGCGGAAAACGCAACTAGGTTGGAGAAACTAGGAGTTTACTCCGGACGCGAATTGCCGAGCACGCAGCATCAGTGAGGCGGGGAGACACTAGATCTCATGCGGAGCCTTATTCTACGGATTTTAAGGGGCCGGAATACTCGCAAGAGCTGACAACAGCATGGGCCGCGAGCTGCTAGGATTATGTTTCTCAGGTCCGCAATCCATCAACAATCCCAATGACCTCCGGGAACTACATTCGGTACTGAGACATTCCCTGAGCAGGGAAATCAGTCACGTGGGGAGGGCGCGGACGAGCAATAATCCTGACGATAGCGGGCTAAATGGCCGAGTAATTATCACGCCAAAATCCGACACATGATGAACTTACGCAATTAACGACTCGGACGCGGACTGACGAGTCATCATCGCGTCAAGTATGACCCCCAGCGGTGATCTCGGGAACTGTTCACCATAGTACGCATGTGGATCCCATGGTAGCTGCAGTGTTTTTGCCTTCACTATCTTTATCTGCGACAGTCGCTGATGATGGGTTCGAGTGAGAGTCCGAAACGTCATGCGAATAAACTTGTGACAGTGATCGCACGCTCTTCTTCTTCCTCTGAACTTTGCTACTCTCTCAGCCTCAAGTTCAGTAAAGGAAAGAAACAATAATTTACTGTAAATACCTTTATTCCACGTTAAACGACCCACGAATTGTAAATAAAATGGATGAAAAATCATCGGAAGTAATTAATAGATTATAAATCTTGCAGAACATTGGAGTGCACATTCTTACGACCTTGGATCATAAAAGCATTTTAAAACGTCAGCTGACGTCAGGTTTGGAAAAGTGGATCCTTGCATATCTTTCGAGCAAACTGGTGAAGTGGGAAGAATCTAAGGATGTCTAATAATAAGCCTTTAATAGGGATTGCTAAGAACAGCATTAAATTATTTATTTATTATGATTTAAACTGTGCCCTATAGGAAACGAAATGCGATGCATGAAGGCAGCTAATAACACCAGAGGATCAGGTGCTCAAAAGGCGCACTCTTGACTGTCATGTAGGGTTATAAGAACAAAGCGACGTGTAACAGTCGAATTATAAATTGAATTAATAAAAAAGCCTCTAAACGGCCCAATCAAAGTTTTTGAAGCATACCGGTCTGCAATATTCAGCCTTCAGGTGCGCTGAAATGCTAACGAGGATTGGGAAGCAGTAGGCCAAGACAAAATCCTTCTGTTTGCAGTTAGGAGTAAGCATTTACTATCAAATATTCCTACAGAGAGGATAGCCAGGGTGACAAATGATTGGTGAGACATCAGGCGTAATCTCAGTTCCTTTCCTTCATTAAGTAACCGGCTTTCCAAGCCTGCTCATGCTCTAAAGTGACCCACTAAAACATAGCATGTTATGTAATTGTTTAATTACTACTTCATAACATAAACTGCTGAGGGCGCGCCTTTTGGTCGCATCTGTGATGATAAACAACACGTGCCTTTGCCAAAAGCAAAATGGGCGACAATGGTGAGTAAATAGAGTCTTAGAAAGCAGGCCGGCCGACCCACGGCTTGTACGACAACATCATTTCTAGTGCGAACGGTGCGCGACACGATATACATGTATACATTTATGACCAAACATGTCTCACATCTATTCAAAATAATTACGGGTTTCTGGGCCTGAAAGATCCTGCTAGACCTAAGCCTACACATCCACGCGTTATAGATAAAACTCCAGTCTGGCACTTGAGAAAAGTTGCCTTCGAACATTAGGCGAACATAAGCTGGCTGCGCGGCGAGGCGAGGCGACGGATTATCATGAGTTTAACTTCGCAGTTACCAAAATGGTCGCCCACACTGGAAAAAAACGGGCCGAGAATTGATTGAAGCCTGGGCCTCGGATGAGAATTCAGTCAATCGATTTATCGATCTGGCGCCAAAAACTGTGGTCCGCCGTGGCTTTTTAATCTGAGTTTTATTCGTGTCATCTTGAAAATTACACGCTACAGCTAGCCGTCATTGTAGGACGTCTTCTGAAAGTCGAAGAACTATTCCCTAGGGAAAAATTTTAACCCAGTCGTACAATGCTTTATTTTGCCGGAAGTATGGGGGTGAGGGCGCGTGGAATTTAGCATGCGGAGGAAACTAAGCGGGCGATTAGAGCTAAAACGACATCTCGCTCGCTTTCCACAATCACTCCAGCGACAAGTCTGTGCCAAGCCAACTGAAAATGAGATTGGAGGCAGCAGCTAATGTGCCGCGGCGTTTCCATCCGACGGCTGCTACGGGCGAAATTACGTAACTGATTAACACGCCGCGTAGAAAATAATGTTTTTAGAAACTGGCGACGATGTTTACATAGGGAATAGACGCCAGCTTGACTTCCCGGATCAGACGGCCCCGATATATGATGGCAGGAATTACTAGCAGGCGAGCCAGAGTCGAGCAACTTAGCCCTAATATAATTGGAAGAGTAAAATCAAGCGGTCTTAAAACACCTTGTGTTCTAGGCTTATTCATTCCGAATTCAGGAGGTTGCGTTTGCCGTGGAACACCAAACTAAGTCTGAGTAGCCCTTTTCTCGAGATGACCAATGTCGAACTGAGCCACAGAAAAGACTGGCGGGTAGGAAGAAGCTAGCACACCTCCTGCTCGCTGTTGCTAAAGTCACGACTGTTATACGTCATCTGGACACCACATAAGGGAGTTTATGCGTGAAATTCTGACCGCGGCCAGCACAAGGTGATATTAATAAGCTCAAAATGACTGCCGTTCTAGTCTATCACAACAATAATTGGCGAGGTTTGGTTCTGCAGCCCCACTTGATCGATATAATATGACTGGCATTCTAGAACAATCTTAGTAGGTGCGATTACGTTGACTATACAAATATAACGTGTTTACACCACCCACACCATTGTAATGCAGCGGATAACTGTGCGACGGGAGGAAGAGTGCTTATACTCTAGCCTCGGTTACTTCAGCTATCAGTTTCCATACCCATCCCTGCTCGTGATTCAAGTCCTGCTTGCGCCCTATTCATCACGCTAATCCAGCAAGTGTCTAAGCAAGCTTGCTAATGAATCTTTTTGGACGGATCGGGACTCCGTTTAATTCCACTTTAGTGGCCATGCACTGCGAATTACCACGCAGTTCCCTCCGTGTTCCCTTCAAGTTGTGATTTCGCTTTCCTTATCCCCTAAATCCAGCGGGTGGCTGTGTTGGGGGAAGTTTGAACACGCCACCTTCATTTACTTCACTGTGCGTGTTTCCACCCTGCTCAGGCGCTCTTTCCTTTGCTAATCCAACGAGTGGCTAAGTTGGGTATGTTAGCTAATAGTGTTTTAGTAAGCTAATCATATGGTCAGCATGCTATTACCGACAAAGGCGAAGGCGACTGGAAAGGCCATTTCTGGATTCTTTGCCGTCGTCAGCCAGTCATACCCAACCCCGAAGTGTGGAACACCCCATACTCGAACTCGCCTCTACCCACCGGACCACGAGCCCGTTGCCCTGTCGAGTTCGATCGCGAATATAGAATTGTAGGGGACGTTCACCGATCGCTCTTACGGAACTCACTCGTTCGGAACTCATTCATGGAAAGAGTGAGTTCCGTAAGAACGATCGGTGAGCGCCCCCTACCATTCACCATATGGTATCAATCAAGTTGGGCTGCGGAACCAAACCTCGCCCAATGACTTTGTTGTAATTTGAAGTCGTTAATCGCAGAAGCCTGTCGAACTGTTCAACAGTGCTGAACTCATTACCTTCATGAATGAAATTTATCCAGTAGAATATTTGTAGAAACGAGACGGTGACCGTAACCAGGGCAAATGCAGATGGTGAAATGTACGATGCTTTATCCGTTAGAGGACTTCCCGAGGCAGTGTACGTCTTCTCCTGAGCCACAGAAAAGACTGGCCTATAAGAACCAGATAATAGGTTTCCTTTACGCTGTTGCTAACTACACGTCTGTTAGACCCTATCTGTGCAGCGCATCAGGTTGTTAATGCGTGAGATTTTGACAGCGGCTAGCATAAGAGCGTGTTAACAAGTTCAAAACGACTGCTGTTCTAGTCTTTCTTGTGCCTTGAAAATACTAACAGCAGAAGCCTATCGACTGCTCAACAGTGCTGAACACCTTACCTTCATACATGAAATTTATGGAGGAGGATAGTTGTACGAACAATCAGAGATCTCAATCAGGGTAGATAGAGAAGGTGAAATGTGTAATGATACATCCAGCAGAGACAGACGAAAGGAATCAGGACCAAAAACCCCACATAAACTTACTTTCTTCTTTCCAGGTCCTGGCGAATATCCTGGAAGGTCTTACGCCCCTCCTCGTCGTCCTCAACCGGGTACCCCTCATGTTCCCGCACAGCGTCCGTGGGAGTCGGTACTGCCAGAGGTTGGGGTTCGAATTGTGCCTGGTAGACCGGCACCGGCATGGGAAGAGCCTCATTGATAGCTACAGCCCGCGTAGTGGCGCTGCAGTGTTCAGTATCCGGCGGGTGCTCGGTAGCCGGACCCAGCTCATAGTGTTCCACCTCATCCCCTGGAACTCGCTCATGGTGGGCGTGGTCGTAGGCTTCGGGACCGCAGTGTTCGGGCACGTAACGATGGCTCTCGCTGACAAACTCAACAGAAGCCATTTCGCTTGATTTAGTTGGACTGCCTTCCCCCTCGTCTCCGAACGTATGTTCGACCTCTTCTAGAGGTGGGGCTTCTGGTGTCGCTTCGCAGTCGGTCGCAAGGACTACCGGAGCAGAGACAGGCGGCGCCGATGGGAGCTCGTCAACGTCAGCGTCCAGCTGCTGCTCAAATGGCTCTAACTCTTGTTCGATCTGTTCCTCCTTTTTCTCCTCCTCTTCTTTCTCGTGTATGGTATCCTGTGAAGTCACACCGGATGGATCTACAGACTCCTCTGCCTCTTTTTCTTGATAAGGATCGGGAAAAATATCGCCTTCCGGGAGTGCCTGCTGGAACTCCTCTTGTTCAAAGACTTGCGAGTGTTCCTGCAAAGGCAACTGTGAATAATGCTCACAGCTCGCTTCCTCCCCTTCGTCAGTTACGTGAGACAGAGAGACTGGCTGCGATTGGCTTTCAGAACCCACAAGGCACTCAAGGGGCGCCTCCTGTTGGAACTCTTCTGTCTGGGAGCTTTCCGGTGAGTAGGGATCTGGCAAAGCGGGCTCCTGCCCCGCTCCGTTTTCTAAGTGACTTTCGGCGACGGCTGGTATGTCGGGATCAGGGGAACTATCGGGGAAAAGATTGCTCTCCGATCTTTCTTGCTGCTGTTGCTGCTCCTCTCCCAGTACGGAGTTCGTTGCGTCCGCAATCGCCTCTTCTACGAGGGCCTGACTCTCAGCCTGTCCTTCGTCGGCTAGGATCTGAGATTTGGAGCCTTCGAGGGGATCGTGGGGGCTCAGAGAATCTGCGGCACCTTCCGCGGTTAGTGTAAATTCTTGTTCGTCAGCACCTGTCTGCTCTGAGTGATGTTCAAATCCGTTTAGGTGAGAAGAATGCTGGTGCTGTGGATCCCCCAGAAACTGCACTTCGTGTTCGGTTGAATAATCCAGGTTGAGACACGGAGTTCTGCAGAAAAGATGAAGGTACGTTACGGGAGTGGAAGCGAGAGTTATCACCTCGAACATACTGCACAGCGCTATTTAAATCCATCAGAGAAGTAAAAATCAACAGAACGTTGTTCTTCTCACACCACACTCCAACGGGTCAGTCGGATATGCAAACCGCTGCAGGTGGGGAGCCTGTTTGCCAAGACCCCACTGGACAAAAGCATGGTCAGGCCTTGCGGACACATTCATATCCAAACCTGCATAAAGATCGCCACAGAGCCTGCAACAAGTTGTACTCTAGGAATTTTATAGCGGCTATTCGGGCCAGGCCAACCAATGGTGGTTTTTAATCTCCACAGAACTTAATGCGCTAACTTGGAGTAATTCTTTCTGACTGAAGATTTACGGACTCACCGCGGCCGCTGGGGTAAGCAGTTATTAGCCGAACCACTTGCAGCAGCAGAATTTAGGTGAAACACCTATCTGGGCTTTTGGATCGTCCCTGTGTTGCTGGTGTAGCAAACTTCTCAGTAAGAAAAAGTGTCTCGCCTGTAAAGGTCACGTCAAACCGCACTTAAGGCTTCGCAGGTGGAGGGAGACGCAACAGCGTTGGGTGTGGGCAGTGGTAGTTTGCAACTGGTTCCGCTAAGCATATGCTGAAGTCATTGCTGAAAGCAGAAAATGAGGTGCCGGTAGTCCGATCATGAAACAGCCTCTGAGCACTAATCAAAGAGTGGACTCAATAGTGACATTAATGACTCCTGCTTTGAACGACAGCTAGGCGTCTGCTGAGACACCGTGAGGCTGAAGCGAAATGAGGAAAGAGGGAAATGTGCGGGAACTAGGTAATATTTCTCTGTCACGGCAGAACTCAGTAGCCGACCTTATTCTCCCACACCTAATCGGTGTTTGCCAACGCTTTGTAGACCAAATCACAACTCGTTCCCCTGTGCCGCTCTCGCTCATGATCCACCTGCTGGCGACCCAAACCCCTTTGACTGCCAAAGTTAAGGTTTGAACGTGTCTGCAATGCCGGGATCGATAACCTACGGCCCTTGCAGCCTAGTGCGCGCTGGCACCTGGTTCGCTGCCGGTAGACGCACTTGCGCTCCCGCGAAGTATACAGGTCATGAGCATGCCTGCATGGCTGGAGTTGCACACGGACCGGAGGTAAACGTCAGGCGTCAGTTAATGAAACCGAAAGACCCACTGCCACGGCAAGAAACGTTTGGGGTCGTTTATCGGATCTGGTGCAGTTGCAGACAAAGCAACTACGTCGGAGAAACCGGGAGACAGCTCTGAACGCGAATGACCGAACAAGCTGCAGCCGTGCGGCGAAATGACGCCAGCTCCCAAGTGGCGGCTCATTCGACGGGTTCCGGCCACACATTCAAATTTGACGAGGTCGAAATTCTCGCAAGAGGTAACAACCGCGTGAGCCGAGGGCTGCTTGAGTCATGGTTTACTGGCCCCCAGTCCATCAAAAAGTGCAACGATCTTCCCATTCCATACTCCGTACTGAAACTTCGCCTAGGCGGAGTAATAAGCCACGCGGGGAGCGCACAGGTGAACACTCGTCTTAAAACCCGAGTCATCGCGTCAGATGGTCGAGCAATCATCACACCAACATCCAACGCGCGTGATGAAATTGCAGCAATTAACGACGCGAATGTCGGCCATCAAACAATTAGCACACCAAGTGCGATGATCGCGGATGAAGGGGGGGGGGAGCCGTGAATCTTCATAGGTATGCGGTAGCATGGTTACTGCATCCTATAAATACTGCAGCCCCATATGCATGAACCAGCCTTATCTGCTTTTGTCTCTGATGATTGATTCGAGCAGGAATCCGAAATGTCAGGCTAATAAAGCTCTTGTCCCAGCGATCGTATCTTCTTCTTCTTCTTCTTCTTCTTCTTCTTCTTCTTCTTCTTCTTCTCTTTCTTCTTCATGGCTGCACAGTCATCCTCGTGCCTCAGATCCGTTAAGATGTATTATTGGATAAAATCCTGGTGATTTGTTGTGTTGACTGGGGGTCTGGAGTAGAGCGCTAACGTGCGGAATCGACCGTGCCAGCCACCTTCACCCTCACCTGCCTCCGGCCTTCTTGAGTATGTCTTGACACGGGACCCGGGTGGGGGAGGAGGATGGAGTGCGGTAGATGCTGCGCAAGTCTACTATCACCATAGACTAATTCACGCGCAAGTCGCCGTGCCTGCTTCACTATACTGTGAAACCCACGGTGGACATCGTCGGGAATGACAGCCTAACTGTCAGTCGAACGCAGCGGCATCGGGGTGTTTGAGGAAGTAGTCTGCGTCAACAAATTGAGTTGTCCACATTGAAAGATGAGCATGTGCTGACTCTCTGGATTCTTTCAGCAATTGTGGGACTGACTGATGAGCAGAAGTCGATGGGGAACTCAGGGAATGGTCACTAAACCTTTTACGAAAGCCATGTAAGGGACTTTAAAGGCTTAGCGCGCGGCAGGCTGTAATCAGATAACAGCCATTGCTTATCACTGCATACTCCCATGGCAACCAGGTCTTATACGCAGGTTGCAAAACATACTATCACAGGTCCCTACTTAATTGCTTAACCGTTTGTTTACCCCGAACCCCGTACTTTTGTCTGTCCTTCTTCGGGCAGATTTTATTTTGACTGTTGCAGACGATGGCTTTCGTCTTTCTCCGATTGGGGTGGGGGAAGAGATGTTAAATGGTCAATTTACTGCAGATGATTAGAAGACTCAAGGCTTTCCGGTGAGTGGGTGACTTGCAAACAAAGTAGGGGACCGATTCGGCCAACTATTCCATGTTGCTGTTAATAGTGGTTTCACAAAATTTAAGATATCAAGGCTGCAGATAGGAAAAGTTACTCTTGCTCCGAATATGTACATTTAACCGAATATTTGGCCAGATAAGGAGATGCATACAAATGTTGTGCAAGGGACTAGAAGAGGTAGACAACTAAATATAGGCCACTCATGAGATGGCAAGGGGCGATTACAATTCGTTGTTTTAGTGAGCGAACTTGACGCATTTCCTAGAACGCATGAATCAGAAACTCATTCTCTTGGACGCAATACTATTGAAATTATAGAACCAATGTACACATATGTGCCCAAACCGGATTAGAAGTGTGGTTGGTTGATGAGGGTGCATAAGCCAGAAACACTTAGGCAATGACGCTTCTCGATTTGTGATTTCTCGACTCTGTGCAACTGCTTGCGTGGATTATCGGTCGGATATGTTAGTGTTAATCGGTTCTGCACTCAGGACACACCAGTCGACCTATTGTTTACAGAAGTGAAATGGACATTTCCTTTTTGACCCAAGCCTAGAGGCCACTCCGGGTGTCGGGTGACGACGAGTAATCCTTCATCACTGTTGAGCAGCAGATTGCCTAAAGACTAAAAGACTCAGGGTTTTGCAGTGAGTGCTTACTTGGGACAAAATGCGGGGGGAGCGATTCTACATACCATGTCATTTTGATACTCATAGTGATTTTGTGCCCTTTATGCTAGCAAGGCTGCAAATGGCAGCATTTTATCTGACCGCACGTACTTATATCTGATTATTACTTAACAAGATGAGTAGATTCACACAAATTTAGCGCCGACAGGAAAAGGGGGTTAGGCAGTGCAAACTAGAACGCCGTAACGACACGCATAACATGGAAAGGACGGAATTGTGATCCACAGTAATCAAGACTATGGCTAACACATCCCCGGGGCACTCGAGACAGAGACTTTTTCGTTCTCTTGGACTAGTTGTGCGATTGACTGAGTTGTGTGCGTAAACTAGAAAGGAAGGAAGCAGTTCCTCTCGATTTATTTTTTTTTCGGCGCTATTTAACCGTCTGCGTGGGTTCTGGGTTGAATATTGCAATGTAGAGCGGTTTGGAATTATAACACAACGGGTGCATTAGCACATGAGCTATTGCAGGCATGTCAACCGACTTTGTGAACCCAATAATATTTTATCTTCTTACTCATTAGAAAGGACCTTTTTCTGTAAAATTTCAGATCGGGTATTCAATTAGAACCTGTGCTGTCACGTATAGCTATGTCTTGCAACCTACGAACGTAATCTTCTGATAAACCATGTTCCAAACTTGTAGATCTTGTTAAATTGCTTAATTATTACTCTCTACACCTTTCACGGCATTCTACAAGCGTTTAGACTAATTCCTTACAAACTACATGTCGACCAATGGAAGAAGGTGGCTTTTGCGCCTAACACTGGTGCAAAGGTAAGAGGATTAGTATATGCGGAATGGAATAGGCGATATAAAGTCCCGAAGAGCACCATCGTTTAATAAAACTACTTGGCGTTTTGTAGGAGTACTAGTCCTTTCCTGCGAAATAGACATTGGTCAATCAATCACAGAACAAATGTGGACATTTCCGTTTTGCTCAATTTGACTGTCAAGTGTGAATGACCTTCATGACTGTCAAGTAGCGACGAGTACTCACTCATTCAAATTTGTAACCAGCAAAGTTTAAGGGTATTGGAACGGTCTTTTCCGGTCTATCAGTCCTCGGTAAGCGAAACCCAGATGCTGTAGCCGCCGAGCCTAAGACTGGGCAATTTGATAATCGAGTAACACTTTTAATGGTGAACTACGGATCCATTTCATGTGACCTGAGATCGAAATCTTCAGCTACATCGGAATGCCGTTAAGTGGTCTCTTCTGGTTGCAGAACTGATTTTTCTATTTTTCGCTTGCATACAGACAGTCGCCGCTCTCGGATGACTTATCATACTATTGATTTCGGTTGACAAAAGATAGATCCGGCGGTCTGGGTAGACAAAGCGCTGACCTTACGTATTCAGCGACCTACTGGATCCAGACTATAACCTAGATTGCTCCAGTGACTGGGATTTCTGTTTGGTTGGCTGGTGATGTCAAATAAGACAAAAACGGCCAGTTCAGCGTCCTCATGCTTGTCGGCAGCATGCTTCAGTGATCGCCCCCGGAAGCTAGACTGGTCAGACGTCATTTAAGGTCACTTGGTACAATTCTAAGTTTTTCCTATTCCAGATCGGAGTGCTGATCGAGCTCTGGTCCCTTTA